TAAAACAAAATGCTAAGGCAAAGGGTAAACACACAGCAATCAGTTGCAAATCCAGCTAAGCAAAACAACACAAGCTGGCAGATGTTGCCTTAATGACTGAAATACTTCCTTTGGCTCAACTATCACCAGCAGATAAAGAACAATTTTACTGGTACTTCCCTGTTTCTTGTAATATTAGTCTATGTTACATGGACAAAATGGCTCTCATGATTTATACTGACATGCAATTTTAGCATTAACGTTAATTTTACAGAAAAGATCTTAAGGCAATTAAATCATGTCTTTCTTCTCCCTGTGAAAATTCCTTTTTGGGGTCAATAACCCCTAAAGTAATAACCCCTAAAATAAAGGTGTCAAACTCATCTGGCCCCAAGGGCTGGATGAGTGTCCCTGAGCTGGTCTGTGGGCTAGACTAGGACCTACTTCCTGAGGAGTGGCTGTGGTGCCAGGTCCAGCCTGTGCACCACAAGCAGCAAGCACTAGCCCCCAGCACTGGCACAGGGCACATGCTACCCATGACATGTAGTCTGGGCCCAGTGCTGCAGGCAATACAAGGGAATCTGGGGTGCTGCATACAGCCTGCGCTGTGTGCAGAGCTGTGGCTGACCCCTAGGCCATGGGCAGCATGCACTAACCCTGGGGCTCATTGTGCACATAACACAGGGAGGCTTGATGCAGGCTTCACGTGGCAACCCTGGACCAACCCCTTGTGCTGCCTGCAGCACAGGTCCAGACCAGAAAGGGCTGGGGCTTGCTCATTGAGTCATTCCAGAAACCCATGCTCTGGATCTGGTCTCAGGGCTGTATGTTCAACACCCTTGCCCTAAAATGAAGATGCAAAAGAGAACAAAAAAAAAATTGTAGTGGGTACAGTTTCTGTTAGAGTTTAATTCAGCAGTTTTAAGCTACTTTCAATATATAACGGTTGACTTGGGTATCTTTAAAGTACAATCCGACAAATCAAGGCTCATATTTCTTAGCCAGTACTCCCTCATTAAGTCATTTGAACAGTACTTAGGCATAAAAGAGTTTCCCCAAAACTGTTTTGATCTTTTGAACATGTGCAGTTCTCTCAAAAATCACATGTATTTGGGTAGAGATTTGGCTTATCAAGGCGCCAGTTATGGAGAGAAAATATATAATTCACCTGTCTCCCAAAAGTAAATGATGGCCTACACTTAAAGAAAGATGCACTTATTTTGCTCTTACAAGAAGCACTGGGGGGGGGGGTGTCTCAGGCAGTATGACATCCCTGGTGACCTGCTTTGACCTGCTGGATTCTCTAACACCTGACACCTTCCCCCTTCTCACATGTCATGCCTTAATGTTCACAAAGATACATTTGGGAGACTGTCCTTAGATAGCCAGGTGGCTGCTTTGGAACCCTTTCTCCGTCATGGAGGTGTTTGTTCCTCTATCACTGGGCTCTCGGGCCCTCCTCATAGTTCCTAGGTCTGGCAGGAACCTGCACAGGATTCACCCACAGCACCTTCACCAAGTGTCCTCAAGGGCCTCCTCCTGCCCCTTAGCCACTCCCAAGCTTTGTGGCTCAGTTACAGGCAAACATGAAAACATAGCAACTTCTTTCCACCTGACACTCACTCTACTCCTGAGCTTGTTCTGCAATCACAGCCTGGGCCAGACTCCCTCTCTAGCCAGGAAACTGGGATGACGTTCCCCCTGACTGCTCCCCCTTCCAATCACCTAACCCCCAACCCCTTATAACAGGGCCCAGGCACCACTAACCCCTGTCCCCAGGTTTACTGCCCTTCAGCCCATGCTTGATCCCTCAAGCCTAGACTCACTCCCAGACTCACCACCCTGCTGTACTGTCTCTTAGAACAAGCTGCAAGGGGGTCCCTAGGATCCCATATGCTGGTCTGCCCAACAGACCATACTCTGCACTTGCCTGCAGCCATTACTTAATTAGCTATTTTGACCCCTGTTATGCTCTGTACAATTGGAAATCTGAGTTGTAAAGTCTGACTTGTATAAACAGGAACTAGAATGAAAACTCTAATGAAAACTCTAATGAAAATTTACTATTTTTTTTTTTACTCCAGCAAGCTGGCATTTGAATAATGCAGAGCCTTAATTCATTACGAGGGAGGTAAAGGAAAGAAATCTCTATGAGGTTCTTCTCAGCGGCATTTCTTATCAACTGCTTTTTTAGGTATGGTAGGGTTTGCTACCACATGGAATGAGTTCATGAATTCATACTTTAAACTCTGTGCATACACATGAGGAATCAGCAGATATATAAAAGCCATCTTAGAGCCGGACTCCTACTTGTACACTGGTTTTCGCCTCTTGCTGACAGAGATTTCACCTCCCTTAGCTAGTCTTCCTTGCCACCAAAAGAAGACATGCCACAGCAGCACTGTGGAGAGACCCCAGGGCCAGAGTATTCTCCATGCTTCTTTTGCCCTGTTTTCAAGGGATAGTTGAGGATGAATAAGGACCAAATAATTAATTAAGTTCTTCCATGTTTAGTCTGGAAGCCCAAGCAGTCTTGGGATCTGTAGACAATATGTGCAGATCCTCTGCACAGATACCATAATCTTATCATAGACAGAGCAAAAGCCACCCTTATTTTTAGGTCACCTAAGGTTCTATCAACATTAAAAAATTACACTGATTCAATTAAACTAGATTCTACATTTATTTAGACTGATGAAACAAACATCAGTTAGAGCACGCACAAACTAATGTAACAGTAGATACAGTCCATACTGCTTTGTCAGTAACCCTAATTCTAGAGCAGGGGTCAGCAACCTATGGTCCACGGGCCATATCCAGCTCACGGAGCTATTTGATCTGGCCTGAAGACTGTAGGTTTCCCTGTGCTGCTGTGGGTCTTGGTATTTCGCTGCTCGTTCTGACCCAAGCTGAGTCATTCTGGCCCACAGACTAAAAATACTACCCTTTTTTGAGTCTGTAGACTCCAGCAGACTACTGAAAGAGAGAGAAAGATAGCCAGCCAGGCAGCCGCACAGACGGATGCTTACATATTAGTTCAAATGAAAGGGAGCTATGCCTGACAAACTAACCAGCTGGAACCACAGGAACCTAACCAGCAGCACAGCCCACAAGAGTACATTTTGAGCATATGCCCAAACTGATTCTGGTATCTTGAAGCTTAATATACCATTACAATAGCACTGCAGTTGTACAAACAATAATTTGTCTTTTCTTTTTTTTAAGGCAACAGGAAATTTCATACAAGATATCAACTTAAATGGAAGGTATTTAGCTTGCAAAGTCAATCACTCACAAACTAGGAAATATGAGATTTAAAGTTGCCTTAGTTCTATCCTCTGACACTTTAGCAGGTGTCAGCTATGTAACTTAAGGACTTTTCTCTTAACAAAGGAGGATGTTTTAATGTAAGAACTTACCTAGAGTCTGAGCTTTAAGCTGCACATAGCTGTACAGGAACTTACACATGTTGGTCTCTATTTTGAAGAGCTTATGATGTGAAACTTCTTAGTATTCTGCTGACCTCCACATTGTGGAGCAATGACAATTCTACCACTGTCCCCACACTTGTGAATTTTTATGGATATACACTGATACACACACACACACACACACACACAAAGAGTAACATATACATACAAATTTGCTATATATATATATATAGAGAGAGAGAGAGAGAGAGAGAGAGAGAGAGAGAGAGAGAGAGAGAGAGAGAGAGAGAGGGAGAGAGTGTGTGTGTAGTGATAGCATATACAAATTCACAAGCGTGAATAGATAGATAGTTTTCTAATAACATGCTTCTCTGAGTTAACCTTGGGTATCCTATATTGGGAAAGTAGAAGTCTCAAATATAAAGTTATTTAGGATGTTATAAGCTAAAAGCAACACTTGGAAATAATTCAGAAATCATCAACCAGTCCATGCAGTGCTCAGACCACCAGGATTAATGTACTCCTAACACAAAACTCTGTTTGATAATAATAAGCATCATTCTGTACTACCTGTTGCTTTACATCACCATAGTCTATGCTCAAGCACAAGGCATGTCCGTATTTACAGGTTGTTTTGTAACTTTCACTATGCAAACACATTTCCTGAATTTGTTGCATATTTAACTAAGTTGCCTTTTCTGACCTTGTTCATAAACTTTAATTAAAAACATTTTAAAAAACTCATTCAGTTCTGGGTTTGATTGTGAGCTATAAAACTTAATTCAAGCTACCAAAGAGATTAAAGTAACTTCAACTTAATTTTTTATGTATCTCATTTAATGTACAACAATATAAAGCTATTTTATTGCTTTAAGTCAAGTCATTTTTACTCTACAAATTCTTCTGTACAGATTTTACATGGGATGATTCACAGTTTGCTGACAGACTATAAAAATAGCTTTGGGTAATGAATTGCTATCTAAACCAAGCACTGAACTACAAAATTTAATCGAGAATGCTTTCATCAAGAATCTAATCTGAAAAGTCCCTGGCTATGTAGATTTTTCTCATAGATATAGTATAATGTTTCCACTGTGAACAATGTATCTGTAGGATGAGTCTGTAATTTTCATGTTCAATTTATGGCACTGATGACAATAGTATGGAAATTAAGATACAGAGATAATACTTAGAAACTAAACTGCTTAAGTACCTCTCAAAGTTTCTGGGACACACAATAAGTTAAATTAGTAGCATGAATAGGAGTGTACAAAAACAACAGCTGCTACTATTGCCATCCCTACCAACACAGCAACTGTCACCAAGCTGGACACTGCCATTGCCTCTGCTACCTGATTATTAAAATTCTGGTATTAATTAACATTGTTTAGCAATGTGGTTAATGAGTAATAGCAGGTTAAAACTGGCAAGAGATAACACTTCATTTCAAATAGGGATTCCCCATATCGCAGTATTGTAGAGAGAAGCATCAGTTTCACCACCTATATCTTAACATAAATATAAGCCAAGTCCAACAAGGCAGTTCAGTAAAGAATAATAAAAGTTATAGCACTAGAAATGTTATCATACCTTTTATTAATGGTATCCCAAGTGGTATTAATGTTATCTGTTACCAGTTGTACTTTTCTGGTGTCATCTGTTGAATAATCACGGAGCAACTTAAGTGCCATGTCATTTGCTACATCCACATTTATTTGCCACTGCCGCAACTCTTTAGAAAATTGCTGAAAAACAAAGAAAACAAACAAATAAATCACAGGTTACTTTAAAAAATGAATATACAATAACGTTTAGAAAAAGTAGTTAAAACCTTTAAAATCTTCTCGATAAAAGAGGATCTTCTGACTCCTAGCAATAACTGAAATAGTTTTTTTCCCCTCAGATCTGCTGACTGCTAGGGTTAGAATGTATTTTTAGTTATGGGATATAAGACTGCAATACTACTGAAAAGTGTCTGACGGAGCTAACTACCAAAACCTTCAGTTCCAGATAAAATGTGGCAGCTGAAATTGTTAAACCAGTGATCAGAATATTGATTATTCTCTTTTTCAGAGTTAAATAGGTATATACATTACTGTGCCTTTTGACTATTTTTGTCCTTGTGATGGTGAATTATGCTGGGAAATAGGAAAAAATATAGTAAAATAATGTTCTGTCATGTCTAATTTGTTACAATGTGACATACACCAAAGCTTGGACAAACAGTACATTTGTTCACTTTTTTTTTCATTTTATTAACTTAGTGAATTGTTTATGTAATTAGTGCCATCTACTGGAACAGAACTAAACATGCATATAGGAAAAAAACGTACTGGGTAAATTTAACAGTGCATTATTATAATGTTGATTAATTACCTTTCCCTGCTTTTTCTGGAAATAGTTATAAAAAGCATTAAAAAAATTAATATTGCTCCGTGGTTTTTTAACTTTTAATATAGATGTAGATTGGGGTGTGCCAGAGTGTGGCATGCAAAGTCATTTTGCTTGGCATGCACACCTTGGTGTGGACGGCAGGAAAGGGGCCAGGGCTACACTGCCACAACAAGAATCAGGTCCCTTGTGGCTCCCCTACCATCTGCCCCTGGCATGCCAACATCTTACAAGCAGAGTTTGGGGGTGTTTTTGGCACTCTGTCCAAAAACGCCACCAACCCCTAAAAAAGGGGAATCTAATATTTGTTACAAAGATAAAACAAATTCTATACATCTTCCCTGTTTGTCTAACTAAGGAAACTCCTGTGAAAACCCCTGCCTCCATCTTGTGTAATAAGTAAAACAAAAAAATAAAACAATTTAAAAAAAAAATCAAAGAGCAGTTACTATCCAGGAAATCAGCTCTTAGTTTTTGACAGATCCACAAGTTGTCAAAATACAAGTGAAAAGGCTTGCTACAGTTTTCCAGAAAAATTCACAAAGAAATGATTACCAGAAACAGTGGCTGGCTACACAATTTAGAAAGTTCCCACCCACAGAAAATAAAGAGTGAGGTATGACTTTCTATCATAAAGTTTTGTGCTTTAATAGGAAAAAAATCTCTATAAATATCAATATTTCTTTCCCCCTCTCCCACAAAGTGATGTTCATGCTGAAGGCTGGTTTTGATTCAGCTAATGAAGTCTTCACATAAAACTAATCACAAGTAAGAAATGAAGTCAAGATTTATCCCTCATGGCAAAGACTGAATGTCAAGTACAACAGACAACTTAAGCATTGAGTGCAATAACATGCTCACCTCATAAAGTTTGCAGATTAAGGATAAAGTTATAATGGTTTTGAAATTCTAATCAAGCTTCAAAAGAAGCCCCTACCTGGGCGAAGGAGTATTGTAGAAATGTAGTAAAAATGTTTTGATACAGATCCAGCCATAGCAGCTTTAACCTTATTCTGGATTTATGCTGAAAGCTGCCCCTAGTTGACCCAGTGGTAAATGCGTACCTAATCAATCAGGCTGCAGAAGTCAAAGGTAGCCAGACATGAGCCACATCATGCCTTGCTGCTTGCTATGGAAACTGGTGTGCCTTAACAAGGCTAGCCCACTGAGCTGCTATTAAGATGATCTTTCACATATTAACCTCATGGAGCTGGTTTCTTTCACCTCCATAAAGAGCTCTAGATTCTCCTGCCTGCTTTAATACTGCTAGAGCACCTAACGGTCCCTCTGATTGGAAAGAAGGAATTGCAAGGTAGGACCTTCCTAAGAATCTTCTAAAATTTAAGGTTCAGAAGGTACTACAGGATTTTAAAATCCATGGAAATAAGAGATGCATATTCTTTTTTTCCATTTGTAGGAGCCCTAAATTTCAGAGCAGTGAGTAGTTGAGAAACCAATTTGGCCCTGTAAAAGTTTATTGCACCTACTATAGATGCATCTTTAAAGATCAGAAAGGTAGCAATCTGACTACATTCCTTAAACAAACTGTTGTGGCTGGTATGTGAAGGATTGATTATTATCATTACTATTCTGGAGCCTTTATTTCATGAGCTCAAGTTCAGGCTAATTAATACTATTTGCAACAACTCCCCATATAAAGTGTGGCCTGGCCTTACTTTAGCTTTTCCCTGTCTATATATCGCATAACATCCTTATTCTCTCTTTCTTTCTCTCCCCCATTGTCATACTATGTTCTGTTGGAATTATTTTTTAATGTTATCTACATAGTTGTAATATTGCAACCACAAAAGTATTGTAGGTGAATAATTTACAGTGCTTTAGAAATACAAAAGTATTAAAAAAGCTCTGTCCACGCTGTAGACTAGTGGCCTGTAAATCTGTACCTTTTTTCCAGTCCCATGTGAATTTAAATTAACCAATAAACACCTCATAAATCGGTTTTATAATGAAAATACTGACAGACCCATTACCCCAAGCGCTGACTTTCATCATTAGCTCTGAGTCTAATCAATTAAATCCCCAACATTACTAAGCAACAATAACATTCAGAAAAAAAGTGAAAAATATAGGGAGCCCTATCTGAGGAAACAATTTGCATATTTCAGTGTCCTGGAAATGGTCATTTACTCTTTCCAGGAACTCTGAAGCATACAGGTTATCTCACTCCTTCTGCTCAGTCCTTTTCACATAGTGTAAAGTGTTGTGTTGAAGGTTTTATCTTCCAAGCCTATTAGAATACCCTTATTTTGTATCCTAACTGACTTGGTGTAACTTTTTTTTAATAATTAAATGAATGGTGTACACTTTCTTTCTTAACGTCTTCCATGTCCCCTTTTTCATTCAGCTACTTTGGAATACGTTAAAAAAGGGGACTCAAAGTACTTCCATTACCTTAAATTTCATTATGATATTTTATAAGGAGTTCTCTTTGTTCTATCTGTATCATCTCTGGAATTTGCTGACTTTATTAAAAAGGCTTAAAGAATTAGAGATGTGCATTCATCATGCTGCTTATGTATATTTTAAATTTTCTTTAATTAGAAGATACTAGTTGCTATGTTATTACTTGGAAAGTCTGGGTAATTAAGGATCCTTAATTAAAAATAAGAAAGGAAATGAGATGGGTTTTCATTCTATCCATGCATCACCCAAAGGAATAAGATTACTATACATAACAACTCAACTATAGCAATACATACATACAGCACCATTCAATTTGGGCCATGCAAATTCCTATAGCAAATGTTTATATAATCTAAGTCTTCATAAATTACCGTCTTCTTATCCTTTCTTTGGACTATTTTCATCATATATTTGGTTCTTAAAGAGGTTTAACTTTTCCTAATACAGTATTTTTTCCACTTTATATAGTGCTGTAGATACCTTTTTAAAAATATCCCACTGTCCTACCAGAATTAGCATGGAGCATTATGCACATAGTCCTAATGTAGTTCTCTGTATGTACACTGTTATACACATGGTATTTGCAGTGGCAGGGAAGCACCCCTGGCTTAGCACCAGACCCCCAGCTGGGGTCTGTCTGGCATGTGTGGGGGGGGCAGGGGCTTCTCACCCCACCACAGCTGGACTAAGATCACCCCAGACCCACCCCTTCCTCAGCTGTCTGGCTGAGGAAGGGGTCGGAACTGCATTTGGGTATCTTTGGCAATGGCCAGCAGGCTGGGAGGTGTGCTTTATTTTCCCCCAGCTCCTGATATGGGCCACACTAGGGGTCTGGCTGTCTTACTGGTTTAAAAAATGGACATTAGTTCACTTGCTTATTGGTTTAATCTATGCAGTTTAGAGAATGGTATAGAATGGATTAATAGACTCTGAACAGAATGCAAAGTTCGAATGGATTCAGCCTGGGGCTTTTCGACTGTCTGTACTTAGCCCAACTGATCCAGGACGGTAGAAGATTATGTTCTACTGAACCAAACAGGGATCCAGGGAGAAAGTTGTAGCTCAGATACATTTTTTTCTTTAACTTTAAAAAATCTCAGAACCATAGAAACAGTTGTGGTTTATATATGATTCTATCTATATGGCACTGTATATGCATGTGCTTTAATTCCCTGTTTTTATAAAAAAAGAAGAAGAAAGTAAATGGGCTATTGGTTCTTTTTCATTATTAATTTTAAAATATAGCACAGAATGTAGAGACAGATATCATTCTTACCAAATAACAGATTAATAGATTATAGGGCCCGCTGGAAGGGACCACTAATCATCTAGAGCATTCTGAACTGACCTCCTCTTAACACAGATCATAAGATTTCTCTGCATTAATTCTTGCCTGAACTAGACAATGTCTTTATTAAACACCCACATTTCATTAAATAATTTCCACTAGTGGAGAATCCACCAGAACTCTTGGAAGGCTAATTATATTTGGTGTTAACAATTTATGACTGATTTCTAATCTGAATCTGTCTAGCTTCTGTGGTCATTGGAATTTGTAACACCTTGTCTGCTATTATTAATTTATTCTCTAAGGACCTATGTTCAAGTTATACTGTAAGCTGCTCAAGCTCATCAGGTTGAATTCATGGAGTCTTCCATGACCCCCATGTTTTCCAGTTTTTTAATGATTCTCATGGCCCTATTCAGGAATTTTTTTATCCAATTTATTCATGTTTGCTGTGAACTGGATATGCCTCACTGGAGCATTGATCAATATATGTTGCTTACACAAAGGCTTTGCTAAAACATTGGCCAGAGTAGGCCTCACCAGCAAACCTGACTGATACACGAAGTCCTCACATAAACAAAACTTGGCAGGCTGACATGCCAAGAAATGGGAGGGAGAGGATGATGGTACAAGATAGGATAAATCCAGTACCAGGATGATAAGGTTGGAACAGGAACACCCAGGTCAGAAGGTACAACAAGCCCACAGTACAGGATGGTTTGTAATGTTCAATATATAGATGAAATGCAATACATAACTTGTTTGGATCATTGTATAAAAGGAGAATTGGCAAGCAGAGAAACTTTGTAGCAGCCTTGGGGAGCCTGTGTAATGTTGTGCTGACTGCCCTGTCACAGGTACAAAATGCCTTAGCATGGTCTGATGTGCTTATTGGGCCAAATTGTGTTAGGGCTGTGCTCATAGACAATAAATCCGGTTGAATCTTTGCCACTGAACTGAGTCTGTGGTCATTTATTCAGACATTTTTTGTCCTTTATAAGTAATTTCTTAACTTAGTCTGCTACACTAATAGTTTGTAGTCATCATAGAAAAAAAATAGAGAACAGGATTATTACTGTAAATTATAGTGGAAAAGCAGACTCTCAGTGGGATTATGGCATTTCTGGCCCCTCCATGCTTTTACTTGGCTCCCAGGATATTTTTTGCAGAGGAGTTTTTAAATTAAAATTACATTAATTTTAAGTAAATGAGTCCAGGACTACATTTAACTCTTAAGTAAAAGAAATCAGAAAGTCTTAAGTCATCAAAATCTTTAGGACCAGTTACAGATTTCTGTTTTACATTGGCTTGGCAAAGGTGGTGGTGTTACTAAGGACTTGCTGATTATTTTTGGCCTTCACAGGAATAATTTGTACCAACCTACTGGCAATACAGGCAATCTCAATTGACTTCAGCATGCTTTGGATAAAACACACGACAACTAGGTTAGTGAATTCTTGCTGCCTAAATGCCTGTATTCCTTAACACTACATCTCTTCATAGAACAGAGTAGATGCGTGCAGTATGTATGTCTGCAGGGTTTTGGCTGTCCCCCAAGTTTGGCTGTATCTTTCCTCATATATAAATGAACAGAAGAGGCTGTTTGAATTTTGCTCAACACAAGTAATATCAAACCAACTGAAACTTAAAACACAAAAGAGGAACCATACATATTCAGAATATTTAGGGACAGGACATCAAAACACCCATGTATGCCAGGGCACGGATAACTTCATGTATTTTGTAGGGCCTATTTATTTCTAGATCTTTCAATTCAGATACTATTGTATAAAAGAAACCTAAATCAACTAAGCTCAAACAAGATTTCAGTTTTCTTTTGAATTCATGTACGTTTATCTCAGCCAAGCACAAAACAGCTAATGCAGTCACATCTGAGGAGCTTTTATGCAGGATTTGACACAATAGGAATCACAAGGCAGACAAAGAGATTTCTCATCAGAAGCCTGGGGAAAAAAAAAATTAAAAAGAGACTCTCTTTCAGCCAGAGGTGAATTCTTTTTGGCTTGTGCAAAGAGGAAGGGCTATCAAAACTAAACAAATGAAAGTAACTTACAGTGATTGGGTCCCTGAAGCTGTAGGACAATAGACAATCTATCACCACGTGGACCAAACAAAGCAAGGGTCTGGCTGTGTTTGATAATATGACTGTTTTCCATAAAAATATTATAATATGTCATTATGTCAGTAACTTTTGGGCTCAAGGTGCAAAGTTGTTTATTATTTTATCTGTCTGTGTATTAACCCATACAGTCTCATTTACATTTTTTCAATCATTTTTTTCCTTTTTTTAACAAACATCATTTAATCAAACACTTTTTCATGAAAATATATAGGTTTTTACTCAGCTTTTACTGGGACAGTTTTTGAGGCCCAGAATATAATTTTGCATCCTCTTAAGAAATGAAAATCTGGCACATTCATTTATGCAACATCTGTTTCAGCACCAGTCTTAGTTGCTAATGTACTTTGCATTTGAAATGCAAAATATTTTTAAGAAGTATTGACTTGAGAATCTGTTCCTACTTGATTCATGAATTCCTTGTTTTAAAGAACTTGAACCTTTGCATAGAAGCTTACATTGCTGAGGTATTTTATAAAACCAAACACTGCAGGCAGAAGTCAGCATTCTAGCTCAGAGACAATGGCAAACGTGTCTCATCTGCTGAATGGAAGTGGGATACACAATCTCTAACTCTTTCCAGTACATTAATGAGTAATTGTCCTTATTTGCAATAATCCATTCTACCCAGACCCATCAGGTAGAATCCAATGAGAAAGGTTTTCCAGTTCCTAGCTCTAAGACAAAAAGAAACTGAAGGATTTGTACTGTTTTTATACATGCACTGGGCAAATTAGAAGGCAGTTTTGTATATACTTTGCAGGATGGTGGAAACTCATTAAAAATAGACGTTAGTGTTGATGATAGGGTGGTAGCTGGCAGATCCGGAAAGTAGTCTTGCATTTATGTGTACTGAAGATATGGATTAAAAGGTTGGTTGACTGTGTTGCTTACCAGAAAGTTAGATATTACCAGTTTGAGTCAATGTTCCTTATTTTTAATTATAGGGTATGTCACTAGACCCAATAAGGCTCTCTCTTACAGCTCAAAGCTAAATGGCATTAAAAAACAAAACAAAACAAATGTTGCCTCTCATCCTAACAAGTACGGCACAATCTGGTTTCACTGCTAATCAAACTAGGTGTTCTGTCTCAGGGTAACTTCATGTGTGTTGAACATGCTGAGGCAAAAATAGAGTTGAAGACCATGTGTTATAACAGGGGTGGACAAATGGCAGGTCTGGCTGGCAGCTGGACTCCATTCCCCAGCTGCTGTCTGCATCGCTCCAGCCAGATTGCATGGGGACCCCAGGAGCAGCAGGCAGGGGTGTGCAGGCACCAGGTCGTGGCTCTGCCCCAGCTCCAGACCACGCTGTCATTGCTGCAAGATCCCAGCCCTGGCAACAGCCCCTGAGTAACTTCCTACCCAGCCACGTGCCCTACCACTGCTGTTCAGGCTGTTCCCCATGGAAACCCTGGCCCCATGCTGTCATGGGTTTGCTGCTCTGGGAGTCTGCAAGGAAACCGGCCTCAGCGACACAGGCAGAGGCTGCTGCTGAGTGGAGTCTACTGCAGGCCCAATCCAGCTTCTGGGCTGGACTTTGCCCACACCATATCCTTGCCAGGAGTTGGCCTGGGTTTACTTGATGGCAAAACAAATGCAGCTGATTTTCACTAGATAATTTACATGCATTTATTACTCTGGGGCAACTAACACACAGTTATTAGCTGCTAAGACATCCTTAAGGAGTAGCACAAGGATTGCCTATACATATGCTCAAGGGCAGGGGGCCAGGCACATTTTAATCAGGGAAGTTTCTGGAAAGCCATTGTAATTAAAAGAGCTCATCATCATATGTTTTAAGTCCCTGCATATTTCAAAATGGCCATGGGATGCTTTATATAAAGCTCATTCAAGAAAGTTTAGATAAAGTGTCCCCATGACCATTTTGAAATGCACGGGGGCTTAATACAAATGACAATGAGGTGACACCGGAGCGTTCTAATTAGAACATGAACGAGCACTTCTATGGGCACCCAAGATTTCCCACTCTGCTGTACCAGTGTGTTGGCTGAAAAATATCAAATAAGGGTGCAGACAGAATTGCAGCTCCCAGCTGTAACTCCGAACAACTTCTGCAAAGTATTCTGAGTTGCAATGTTACCCCAGACCAAACAGAAGTTCACTGCTGGTTCCAGGGGGAACAGAATTTAGCTACCGGCTGGGAGCATGCAGCTGGTTTCCCCTAGCAACAGCGGCAGCTCTCTGCCAATGCGCATTGTTTTCAGAATGGGAGGGGGAAAAGGCAGCAGAGGGAGCTTGTGCTTGGGGCTTCCCAGCTGGTGCTGAAGGGTGGGGTGGGCAAATTGAAGCCTTGGTGGGTGGGGAGGCTCTAATTCACCCACACAACCGTCCGGAGCAGGGCAGGGCTGAATAAACCCAGATTGAACTCCCTCGGCTCCCTTTCCCTCTTCAGATTCTGAAAACAGTGACGGGCTGGGAGCTCCGCAGATGCAAGTTACAGAAGACGCTACATTTTGAAACATCTTCATCTGATACCTCATGCAACGAGGGGTCAGATTTTTACCCAATCAGCCATTTTGGAAGCTGTTTGCAGCTGTGCACTTGTGTTCGGTCACAGCTATAAACTGCTTTCTCTGGCTAGATCGGAGGAAAATTGTCACTTTTGTCCTTACCCTAGGTGATAAACTATCAAGTGAAAGGACAGTTTAGTCTCCAGGGTCATCTAGTCTTTAGCCTCACTGCTAAGAACACCAACTAAAGTGCCAATAGTAAGGATGAACTTGGAGATTGGTATGATGTAAAGTACAGATTTAGTGTCCAACAGAACTTTTACGGTTGAGAGGAGAGGCAAAGGTGATTGGAAGGGGACGCTATCTGGTTTCAGGTTACTTTCCATGGCCTGAACTACCCAAACCTTTGATAATTTTTTAATTAAATAACTTATTCGGGTGAAGTAGAAACATTTTCAATATTTTGATTATCTTTCTGGAACACAAATCTTCCTTTTTCAATAATAACCTTAAGTTCGGCGTTCTGTTTTTTCAGAGCATCCACAGTGTATGAAATCTCCTTCCACGACTCAAGCTTGGCTTTGGCTTGTTCTAGAACCTGCTCAGCTTCCTGTTTCGCTTCCAGCCACTGCGTCGAATCCTTTAACATTTCATGTAATTGCTGTCTTCGGTTTTGAAGGCGTCCCTGAACTTCGTCCCACTGACTCTGTATCTTTTCAACTGGTGAAACACAAAGGCAAAGTCCAAAGTGAATCACTCAAATAATTATTTTTATTTTTTTAATGCAATAGTTAGAAATATTAAAATACTAATGTTGCAATCCACCTTTGAAAGCTCTTAAGATAATTTTGAACTGTAACTAAAATATAAATTAATAAAGGAGAAGAAATAACTGTGGGAGGGTGTGGACACCCTGATGCATATGTAGACAGAAATGTTAGGTTCACATTTCAATAATGACAGTAAGAATCATAAAACAAAATCATATTGCAAAAAAAGAAAATAGTTTACACATTTTGCTTATACAAAATAAAGCTGAAGTTCGTGTTTTTGAGGACTTCTGTAGCCTTCATCTTAAGATTTATTACTAGATGCAATCGATGGTTATGCTTTCCTTGACCAGTTAAGACAAATATTAGTGGAATCTAAAGTCTATCTACAAGTATACTTGCTAACTTTTTCATATCAGTTATAGAGGAAGGAATAGATTTCATTATTTGAGGGAAACCTAGCTTTGGGAAGCCTAATGAACTTGTGCAAATGGATGGATTGTACAAATGAAGATTGTAAGCCCATCTGAGGCAAAGGCATCTCCCCAAATAATATGGAATAATACTTCTTCAACCAGACAAAGCTGTGGGGAAAAAATTGTTCTGTGCTTTATTAATAAGAAATATGTATTTTTTCCAAACCTATCAGACTTAGCCTCTTTATAGTTCACCCAGAAGCTGCCCCACATTATTTTAAAGCCAGTGGCCACCTTGTTTTGGCATTGAGAGCTAAGAATGCCTTGAATGCTCTACAAGAAAAAACATTTTTCACTAGGAGGAATTACCAGACACTACTGCACCCCTCACAGGGTGGATTCTACAATGGGCTGTCTCTCAGGACTGAGGGAGAATCCTGCCCCATTACAAACATGGAGGGAAAAATCCTCCCATTGCTGCCTCAACTTCAACCTCTTAGAGGAGGGGCAAAAGAGCCTATTTTGGATCTACTCCCCAGTGTTTGAAAAGGGAAAAATAATCCAATACTTCCAGTATCCCTTGCTTTTTCCTAGAATAGAAGACAGAAAATAAATGGAGGTGGGGGAGTGAACGAGCATGAGAGAATGGAGGAAAACGAAGAAACAGAATTAGTGAAAAAATACGAACACAATAAAACTAGATGGCCAAGGCTTTGAACAAAAGAATAACAATTATGTTTTAAAAGAACATTAAGCACTCTTATTTTAAAGAATAAAGGTTATGTCAGGAACAAGGGCAAGTAAGCAAGCTAGCTAGCCCCCAGCTGGCCCTAGTTACCTGAGTGCACCAGGCTGCTAGTGGCCTAATTACTTCCAGTTGGCATGCTGCTTATATGGACTTGGTTGCCTGCCTATAAGCAGCAGCCTTTCAATACCCAGTACTCTTTGTTTCTAGTTTCCTAAGTTCAGCTTGTTGGTTCCTACTTTCTTCTCCTCTGCATCATTGCTTGTTGGTTACCTGGGTTTATCCTTTGTTCTTAGTTTCAGCCTGCTTACCTTTTGCTCCTGATTTGCTAATCCTGACTTCCTTTGCTCCTGACCCCTGATCAGACCCCTGTCTTTGAAAGCCTACTCCTAGCTTTAGTTTGGTAATTACCTATGTGCTAGTCCCTTCCAGCTAGAGCTGTCTGCTCTGAATGCCTTGGTTAGTGATACTGACCTAGATCCCTGCTTCCTGTTCCTGATCCCTGTAACCAGGGTGACTGCTGTACATACTTTGGCCTCCTGACCCACATGCTACTTAATGATCCACTGACTCACAATTCTACTCTGACCTTTGCTTCCAACCATGTCTGTTCCTGATTGCCTGCATTGCGACCCTCTAGGGAAGGGACAGACATTCAAGAAGCCTGAGCCTGAACTGATTCAATCTTTGTAGGTTAGTCTAACCTAGATAGGCTAAGCTGGTTTGTAACCAAACAGACATCCCAGAAATGCAAGCACATGCCTGCAGTGGCTCAGACTAGAAGCTGGGGTGATGCTACAGCAGCCCTCCCTTCCTTTCACAGAGCTGAGCTGAGGCAGGGGGTGTTGCCAGGCCCCTGCAGGGCACTGTGACTAGTCCAGCAGGTAATGCTTATCACCCCTAACTCAGTGTTTATCACCCAATTAAGAAAACAACAGGACATTACCAGCTACCTGTTGATTCAGCACAGACTGTAGCCAACATGTGGTCTGCTAGCTAATACACAGACACCTCCTTAGCAAGGTAGAGGGGAAGGGGAAATTCCTGCTTAGCAGTGAGTGGTGAGGGGGAGGGAGGAGAGAAGCCCACAGTCTTGCCAGAGCTCTAGCTAGGAAGCAGAGGGGAAGGACTAGCCCTGCTGTGGAGCTGAGAGCCCTGCCCAGCCAAGAGAGCATGCCAGGATGCTGGGGGTATCTGGTTTATTTTAAACCAGCAAGGGGTCTGGGAGAGACATTGCATAAACCCATGTGAGCCAAATCAGTTAAGTCTGATACTACAATCAACCAGGTTTATCTCAAACTGGTTTCAGCCATTTTCAAATTGGTTTATGTGCACTGAATACCTGTTCTGTTACAGGTTTAAACCAGCTTCTGATCACTTAAACTGGTTTATATATAATGTCTCTCCCTAGTCCTAGAGACAAGACCCAGCTGCCCATGTTATATCTGAGTAGTCTCCTGGGCACTCAAAGAACTGCTGTTTATAAGGTGGTAGCCATGCCCATACAAGCAACTGGGGCTAGCTAGGAATAGATAGGTTGCTGGCAGCCAAGCCCACTTGGGAAACCAGGGCCAGCTGAGAGCTAATTAACTGGCCTGTTTTCCTGACTCCTGATAGCTTACTTCACAAATAATCTTTTTTATACACCACATTCAGGTTAGAATTCCGAGGTACACCTGCACAAGTGAGGAATTGAGGTGTTCAAAGGTGAACACATTTAAAGTCTAATGGATGTGCTTGAGATGCTGATAACAAGTACAAATCAGTTTCAGGAAAAAAAAAACAGTTGCTTCTTCTTTACTTATATTACAATTGTGGGGAATAACAACAATTCAAATTGACTTTGGCTATATCAAAAATTATTTTTAGGCCTCAGAAATCTTTCCATCAAAGCTGTTAGGCCCCCTCTAGATGTTACAGGTATCATGCAATTATCTAGTTAATTGTGCAATTACCTTAAGACCAGCTACACATGCAAAGTATTCCAAGGGATGTGGTGCTTGCCCCTACCCTGGGGGTCTTCAAAAGGAGGCTAGACAACCACTTAGCTGGGGTCATTTGACCCCAGCATCCTTTCCTGCCCATGGCAGGGGTCAGACTAGATGATCTGCTCAGGTCCCTTCCAACCCTACCAACTGTGAAAGTATCCCATCATAAAAAGCTCCCACCAGCTATCAAGTTAGACCTCAAAAATGTGTGCTAACTTTATAGCTGGCTGCTATTAAGTTTTAATTTTCATGCATAGCAGGGTCTCCCCTGTGGCTAGGAGCCCTGTTAGACACTACAACCTCTCAGTCCCTGGGATGTATGGGTCCCTGCCATGGCTGGAAGCCCCCTCAGCTGAGGGGGCTCCCAGCTGTAGGAGCTTGCTTCTTGCCAGTTCAGGGGGAGCCGAGTAGTAAAATCTAATTTACAATTTCACAATCACACCTCTTGCCATACACGTGTGGCATGGCAGGAGGTGTAATTGTGCAGGTCATACATTAAATCCCACTGTATTTTTACCTGCATGTGTAGAGGGGCCCTTTGACATAGAATTGTTTTCAAGTTTATTTTTTTTAGTGAAAAGAATCTTTTTTCCATTGGCAATGTTGACATTTTATCAAAAGATATCTGAATGCCAAAATGTACTGGGGAAAAAATACAGTGTTTCCAATTTGGATATGGTACCACAGTGCTTAATGCTATTTTTCATTTAATTGTTTCATGCCCCATTCTTCACTATGGGTCAGGCTCCCTGGCTGATCACAATTTTCATGTGGGTGCCAGGAGCTCTCACATCATGATGAACCACTTCCCCTTTCTGAAAGAAGAAACAATGGTGTGACATGGAAGATGCAATTCAGTCACGGAGCCCAACTTCAGAGGAGAATGGAAGCATGAGGCAGACAAATGGAGGTCCCATGAGCTCCCACAGGAACATTTTCACATTTTCCCCAAATCGTTTGGTTCTCAAATTTTTGCTGAGAAATCAAGATTTGCTGTGAAAAAGAAAACTGTGTTTCTGCTAGCTCTATTACTTTTATTCTCACACCCAAAAGAAAAATATTCTTGATGGAACATCAGAGATTTGAAATACAGAAGGTTAGGGAAGTGGTGTCTCTCTAGATCATTACCCAGCGTAAGCAAACAAACTATTTAAAGCTCTCCTAAATATTTCACTTTGATACATTGCATCACTCATTTGTCCCAGAAAAGAAAACACATAACTGTAGAATAAACATATCACGACATTTACATAATTCATCTGGCCCTCCTGAGGTAGGCTTTAACTAATAATTAAATACCACAGATGACAAACAGAATATTAACAACCTAAAGGAGTTCAGAGATAGTTTATTAAAACAGAAACTAAAGGGGACTCCTATAATTAAGATACTCCTGATTTATTGTAAGGTAACACAAAAACAGCATACAAAAACACCAATGCATCATAGAAAGTTTACACATGCTAACTGTTGCATCTATGTAATTTTATAAATATATACACACACACACATATATATATGCCCCCACACATATACGTATACATACATATACATATATATAGACAGATAGAGGGAGAGGGAGAGGAACAGAGAGAGACATATATACACACATGCTCATGCATGTGTGTGAAAATGAAGAAAGGCACCTTTTTACCTTTTGAGATGAGCATAGACAAGATTTCATCCCTGGACCATATCATAAATTCACTGATTTAGATAGTAAATAAATACGTTGGATCAGAGTATATGAAAGTGGGAGAAAAACACCTGCTTTGTGGTAGAAAATTTCTGTGCTGAAAAG